ACAGCGCTTAAAAGCTACCATAATCAGCCACGTGAACACGGGCTGATATATGATTCATTGAATATCGCGGCGCGAATGCGATCGCACTTAGTTCATGAAACAATTGAATGAGATCCTCCTTTTCTATACCCATCCTCCTTTCTTCCCTCCCCTGACTCCCGCATGTGGGAGGGAAATCTATTCACATACGTAAATAGATTTCACTAGTATTATACCAAATAGAAAATAAATAGATTTTGATTTCGGTTATATCAACAGTGAAATAAAGTTGATTATTGTACAATGTTAGGTTAGGTCCAAAGTGAGTGGGTCTATCCGACCCTTCACCACAACCCGCAAGACTTTATTGTGGCTCACACCTATTCACACTCGGCCAAATAAACCCAGGTTCTCAACAAAGCCGATTAATTTGTATGATGAGTGCTCTATCAGGTCAGATGATAAGAGTACGGCTCTGCTGAACTCTAAAAACCTGATTGGTACAGTGTAGTCAATTATTACATTACATTGTAATGATTTCAGATTTGTAGGCCTTCTTATATTCTTTACTTTTTCAACAGTTTAATTTTTCTTTTTTTTTAATTTGTCTATTTTTTCAACAAAAATGGAACATTTTTTTGTTGATCTTCAAATTATTCTGTCTAGCATATTCAAAATGAGTTGCGTTGAATTTGCACATTCTTAATAGGTATATTCTCCACACATAATGTTATCAATGGAGACTACACCGTTTTCAATTGATAAGTAATCAAGTATTTTTTTTCTGATTGATTCGGCCGTTACTTGATGAAGATCCATAGTAATTTCAAAAACTACAGCTCAACGATTTGATCTCCACAAACTTTATTTGAAAAATATGTCACATGTTTCGCTAAGACATTAGCTTTTTCAAGTGATCACAAATCACTTGAAAAAGCTAATTAAGTATTTTTTGCATGATAAATTGAAACTTAGCGCTTGAATTTTTCCACCCAAAAGGTAACCTCGTGAATTCATAGTGCCTGTCCTTCTTTAGTAACAAAAGCTTTTAACTTCCTGGTATCTTCAGAAATTATTATATTCCAAAATCCATCTCTCAAATCACAACCGCCAAATGTTTCAATAATTTCATCAGTTCTTGGAAATGGAAACTGGTCTAATACTGTTTCATCGTTGGTTTTTCTGTAGTCTATACAGAACCTGAATGTTCCATCGTTCTTTGTAGTCAATACACAAGGTGACGCGTATGGTGAATTAGATTTAACTATATCATTTTCTAACAATCCTTTTATTTCTTATGTTTCGTGGATTTGGCTTCAATTCAAAATGAACCTCAAATCGTTATAATTTTTTTTATTCGAATAATCAACTATAGAAGGGAAATTATTCAAAATATAGTCCTCTTCTATTCTTTTACTTTCATTTGGTGAATTTCATCTCGAAATGTGCAATACTTGTATGATATGTTTACCAATTATTAATTCAAAAGATAAATTATTGACTACTGCATGAAAAATTTCCAAATAATTTCCGTCAACTTCTAATTTTGCCTTTGATTTTAACATGCACTTTGTGACTCCTCCTGAATTTATGATGGATAAGTTGACATCCATTTTTGGAAAATTCCATTTGCGTACTAGCTTCTCATTCTATCAAATCTATATTATATCCTGTATCAAATAAAGCTTTTACTTCAAAATTATTCAATCGAACTGTTTCACAGTTTCCTTCAAATTCTCTTGAAAAAATAGAATAATAGGTATAAATTTCAAATTCATTCATTTGTTCTTGTAAATCAAAATAATTATTATAATAAGAACTTACTTTATATTTATTTTCTGAATTCTTCCAACTTTCATTCCCTGTTGTTCATTCCCTTGGCGTTGCTTCTCATTTATATCGTTCTACATTTTGCTTGCTTTGGGTTTATTTTTGTAATTTCTTTTATCAAAATTCAAATTTTTCAACACTTCAATCAAATCTTCATTACCATTCATGATTTAACTTCCCAATTGATTTATCTTCCAAATCATTTGGTGAGGTTCCCGAAAAAGGATTTCTGATCCATTCCACTTTTGAATTATCTTGAGAGAAATACTTCTTAAAGCTTTTTTGAAGGTCTTCCAAGTGAACAATGATATCTGCAACCACAGCTGGCATTGGAGATATTTAATTTTCTTCAGAAAATTATGATAGAGTGGGGAATGCAGATGGATTCTCCTCCTGTATTTGTGAACAAACCAGGACCAACTTTCTCTTGAAGGAGTTTATTTTGTCACTGGCTATAAAGGCTGTTGAGTCCCAAGTTCAGTGTGTTGAGTTTGTCAAAAATATCGGCTAGGTAAGCCAATCTTGACAACCATTCTTCATCAGCAAACAATTTTTTATGTCATGATTTTTTTCACTTAAAAACATGAAAACTTCTGATCTCAGTTCAAAGAGACGGTTCAAAATTTTCCCGCGAGATAACCACCTCACTTCTGTATGCAGGAGTAAACTTGCACATCTTCACACGTCAAGGCGAATAACCTTGTGTTTAGAGCCCTAGCCTTTATGAAATTAATAACTTTCACAGCATCTGATAGAACGGAGTTAGGATTTTTCGGCATACCTTTAGCAGCTAACGCTTCTCGATGGATGACACAATGCGTACTTTTGCACATATTCATTAATTACCTTAAAAATGAGTTCCGCTGTGGTATTTGATTCAAGTGGTTTGCAGAAAAAAAACTCTTCTATCACTCCTTCATTATAATCAAATCTTACAAAAACAAGTAGCTGCGCCATGTTTGTAACATCAGTGCTTTCGTCAACTTGAAGTGCAAAATAAATGCATTCTTGGAGTTTTGAAGCCTGTTATTCTTCAATATTATTAGACATATCGTCAATTCGTCTTTTTACTGTGTTATTTGACAGTGGTATTTTTTTAATTTCTTTGGCTGCCTTTTCTCTTAACACGGCTTGAACCATATCCACAGTGGCCGGCAGTAAAAGCGTCTCACCTATTATGTAAGGCTTTCCATCTTTTGCAATTCTTAAACTAGCAAGGCATGACGCCTTTATCAAGTTAGTATCAGTATTGATAAACTTCGTCAAACATTGGGTTTCTTTCTTTAAAAAATTAGATTTTCTTTTAAAAAATTCAATGGGCTTACCAATCAAATCAGGGTGTTGAGTATTTTGGTGTCGCATCAGTAAAGAAGGCTTCATGGATTGGTTCGAAAGTGTTTCAAGACAAACAAACACATTGAGGAATAGGAATGTCACTGGTTTCAGTCCCTGGCTTCACTATAAAACCGTGCTGTAAGTAGCCTTCATCATATTTAGGATTTGCCGGTAATTTAGGTTTTTTAGCACAAGCCTTTAAAGTAGAAAAGGACGTCAGAAATCGTTTCATAGTTCAGTTTTCTTATACGAAATCAGAATCAATAATTACAACACCCACAACGAACCTGTGAAAGTAAAAGACAATCCTTTTAAATACCCACAGGTAAAAAATAAACACCCTTTGTTTACCAATTATACTATCTGTAGATTCGTTGGTAAAATTCCTAAAGTGTTTTATTGTTTTATTACCTAGGAATTATAAATTCCAATGTAATAGAAAAACAAAAATGTCAGGGCGTTCACTGGGTTATGGGTATTTCGTTTTTCTAGCGACGCGTGAGCTGAGTCATGTTTGCTATTAACAGTATGTTGCTCACATCACTCACGCGTATCACCTGAAACGTTCCCGCGTACCACTTGTGGTACGCGTACTACCGGTTGAGAACCCCTGCCCTAAGCTTCAAATCCATATACAGCTCTATATATAGCAAATGTGGTACTCAAAGTACTGGTTATTTCCCAATTTTGTTGTATATATTCACTATGAAATTACGTATTATATCCAATCACATAACATAATTAAATCTTACAGTAAAACCACAACCATACGTATTTGCGCATCTGACTGAATCACCATCACCGATACTACTGCGTTTATTCTGTGAACTGCAATAATTTGCTGATGAAAATCAAATTATTCAGTGAATTTTCTGCACGACCTAGCTTTTGAAAAAATTTGTAAATCAATATATATGCTCTTTTTCCGGAATATTCTATACATGCAAAACATTGATAAAATTTGTCTGTTGTAGTTGTCTCAAATTTTTAGTGACGCTAAAGATTCACATTGACCGGCATCAACTTGCAGTATTGAGTGAACTGATTGGTTCAAAATTTGATTGCTTTTTTTACTGTGGATATTGTTGTCAATCATGCCCTAAATAAAAGAACGCCGGCCGCCGCTGATCGTCATAAATCAATTGTGACTTCCTTCATTCCATCCGCGGATGCTCTAGACGTGGCGAGAATAATGCTGCCAGCTTCGATATGGAATTCCGGCGAACTTTCTACCGCCTCTGATTGCCAAAGTATTGATTGTATTGTATTGTAAAAGCGACCCACTCGCCTATTGAATCAAGTTTCGCGGACAGTGAGGACAGGGCGGATCTAGTTAGGCGATAGACATTCAGTTGAAGTGTTCAGTTGTATTGAAAGTGAAATAAAGTTCAGTTTAATTATTGTACAGTGTAGTCATTTATTAGTTAACCTAGGAGGAAAACGTAACAATATTTTTAACTTTCACAAGAACAACTCGATCATCAACTCGGGCACTGCGACCGTTACAACATCGCCTTTGATAATGTATACCGCAGTTCCAGACGAAACGTCAGGCATAAAAACGAGCAGCCACGACTGAAGAAACCGGAAAACAGCTTTCACACAGTTATCTTTGGTCGTGATTGATTGATTAATGTATTAAAAGTTTGTCTATAGATTATTTGATGATTTCCCCACATTGATCAGATTTTTTACTATTGTAGATACTTAATGCACAAATTTGATTGTAAGGTCCATTTCAACAGAATTTTTTTTATTATATTATTATGAAATGAATTACTCATAGAAAATTAAATTTATCAGGAGTTGTTCATCATGTGGCGAAGACTATTATTAAATTGAATGAAAAAATATAATTTTGCCTTGAAAAGTTTATTCAGTTCTAGTATATAAAAATACAAAAATAAATTATGGTGGTAAAACACATATTCAACAATATTTTCAATTTTTACATCAAAAGATTTTGATTAAAAAAAACGCATTACATGCAATATTCCAAGTTTACAGGGCAAGTTATAATATGTAATTAAATTTTAAGAAAACATACTCTATTTTCTGACCCAGAAATATTAACAAAACCAAGTTTGGCACAAAAATTTCATGAAACTAACCCTAAATGAGATTCTACAAAAATTCAATGGATATAAACAAATCTTATCATTAAAAAAATAGGCTCCATTACATAATAATATGGCTTCAATAATAATAATTGTACTACTGAGTATATCTAAAAGGAATATATTAATACTGGCTCTATAAGGCACTATACAAGTCAAGAAAACATCAAAAATCAAACATAATATATGAAAAAATTTGGCGTTTTGAAATAACCTATGGCAAACTGTTTGCCCATTTCTGTTGGAGAGCTGAAAGCGATATCGGAATTCTTAAGTGCATAGCCCATTATGAAGTTGTTTTTGAGAGCATTCATCAAATTTGTGGCTATTCCTTGTTTACGATGATTGAGAGCAACCCAAATTCTTGATATCCCACATTTTATAGGGTGCGTTTTTTCAGAGCAAAGATCTACTTCGTTTGCTCCTGAAGACAGCATCTGATGTCCCTCGTCTTTAGCGATGGCTACAAGACACCCTACTATGGATTTGTTTTTAATATACATGAAGACCTGTAAAAAAAAATATGAATACCAAAATATTCTGTCACTGACGTTCAAGGATCTTTTAGGAGTCATTGAAAGCACTTTTAATAATTCATGTAATTCAACTTAATTACTTTAATTATAAATGGGCTGACCCTTTACTTGATAATACAAGATAATAATTACACAATTTTCACAAAAATATTTATTCCTAGACACGTTTCACTAACACTATAGCTTTCTGTGTCGTGTTTTTATAGTAATTGCAATCATGAATATTACTACCTGCCAAAGAATTCAAATAATTAGGTTTTATGTTGGACAACAGTATGTCTTTTGGTGCACACTATAACTATATGACTAAAAAGATTTCAAAAAACTATATTTCTTCACTAGAATTTCGAAACACCTTTCTACAAATGCGAAAATAACCGTATATAATACAATAATACAGCCCCATTTTGATTATTGCAGTACGCTGTTATACAGTTTTGACCAAAATAAAATTATGTCTCTGCAAAAGTTACAGAACAGAGGAATGAGGGTGGTTCTTGGATGTAATCGTTAGGCAAGTATATGCTTTATGCTCAGTGCATTACAGTGGATGTCTATTCGTGAAAGATATTACAGGTCAGCAATGATATTTATTTTTAAGATAACCAATCATATGCTACCTTCTTATTTCGAAGAATTTATCATTTATAGAAATTCCACTCACAATTACACTACTAGACAAAATGACAATTTTCACCTGCCACGATATAGTTTATCAAACTCCATGAAAATTTTATTATATAAAGGCCTCATTGAATATAACAAACTTCCCCAAAATGTGAAGAATAATAAAAACCTGTTTCAATTCAAAAAAGATTTGACTGATTATATGAAAGGTATCACAATAGAATAGATAGTAAGTGACTCGGTATATATTATGTATTTATGTGTACCTATATGTATATATGTATTATATCCTTACTATGTGTGTCTATATAACATGAAATATTATGTATATTATGTTTGTGTATTAGGATCTTCCTACCAATAAATCATTCATTCATTCATTCATAAATTCTTCATCTGGACTATTTGCCTATCTAGCCAATTCCATAATTACAAACTAAATTCAATAGAGGGGAACAATTCAAATATATTTGATTATTGAGCAGTAACCCCAAATGTTTACTTCTATTGATTTATAAACATTCCAAAATGAGTTTTGAACCTTTCTCTTCCAAATGCAATATGTCATAATTGTGATTGAACTCGTGCCCCTCTGTCAAAAGATGATTCGCAAATGTTAAATTGGTCTTTACATTCAAAAAACTACTTCTATGCTATTTTATTCTTTTGGAAAAAGTTATTTTGGTTCATCCGATATAAAATTTTCAACAAGAACCACAAATCAACTTGTTTACTCCCGATCTATCCAACACTGGAGTTTCATGTTTATTGTTTTTAATGACATTTCAATTGAGTTAGAAGTTGTACATAAAATAAGATACTCATGATGCACTGTTTGGAACCTTTGGTGTAGTAATGAATATTACTTGAGTTTTTCCCAACACCAAATCGTTATTTTTAACACCTCGACACGTGTTTCGATCACCAAGTGATCATCTTCCTCTTGAAGATTAAACTAGAAACTTCGCGAAGCTAACGCTACTTATGCTATACAGATATACCATTCAGATAAACCATACAGGTCTACCACACATACAGGTATACCACACCTAAATTAATTTTACAATTTACCTTATCTAATATTTTACAATGTCCTTATGTAATGTTTAAATGTTATAGCTATATATAAAACAATTTCCAGCTATATAAAAAAAACCAGCACGTTTGTGCTGTCTACAGTGATGTGAACTGTCAGGACTGTGATGAAAAATATTATGGACAGACAAAAAAATCTATGAAAGTAAGATATAAGGAACACATAGCACACTTAAAATATGGAAGACCTGAAAAATCAGCAGTCGCCCATCATATTTTACAACAAAACCATTCCATAGACTTCAGTTCATTAAGATTAGTTAGACAAGTTAACAACTAGATGCATATGAGAGTGTAGAAATAAGTAAACATAATAATATTATGAATAATGATGATGGACCAATACCAAATAGCATACTATATAGCTTGTTAAAATAATATTATTGGAATTACTGATTACTACATAAGGACACATTGTAAAAATAAATTTAGATAGGGAATATTGTGAAATTAATTTTTTATATAGCTGAAAATTGTTTTATATATAGCTATAACATTTAAACATTATATAAGGAGATATTGTAAAATAATAGATAAGGCAAATTGTAAAATTAATTTAGGTGTAGTATACCTGTATGTGTGGTAGACCTATGTGGTTTACCTGAATGGTATATCTGTGTAGCATTAATAGCGTTAGCTTCGTGAAGTTTCCAGTTTAATCTTCCTCTTGAAGATGATCACTTGCTGATCGTAACACGTATCGAGGTGTTAAAAATAACGATTTGGTGTTGGGAAAAATTCCAGTAATATTCATAATTTATGATCAGTAGTTTGGGAGAAGGACCCAAAGATATCAATATTAGGGTGGTCACAAGGTATAAGTTGAAAAAATATTTTCGTCTTAATGCTGGCGGAATTCCCCTTATATTTGCTATTTATCTAGAAAATAAGAACTGGAGAGTTTTAACTCGATTAGATAATGTTAACCCGTGCATTATCGAGATTAAATTGGAAAAAACGATTTTTATCTAAAAATCGCCGTTTTTCCTTCATCAAATGAAAACTATTTGTCTTAGAAATTTGATTCTTGTTTTGTTTCATAGGGAATGTTGCTATCTTCCTAATCACTGTTTTGTTAAAATGTTCATATTTGAAGATATATATTATTGTCCAAGACCGGACGTGATCCGAATACTCAAAGTCGCTATTTTTAGAAAATAAATGGAAAATGTTAAGGAAGATACTTAATTTATTTACTTTTTCAATTTTTTGTTTCCTTTGAATATTATACATTATTAAACAATATGTGATTAAACATAAAATAAACATTTTTTCAAATTTATAAATGTTTTTACAAGTTGCAATTTGTATATAAAAAATATAACCCCTTCAATTCATATATAGGTATATACCTTTAAAGGTCGGATTTGTTACAAAAGAGCTATTCCTCAAGCAAAAGCTGTTGAATAGTGGGGGCAGTTGAGAAAATCCAGGCAATATGTAGATAAAAATTTTAGAACAATCAAAAATCCAACAGCCAAGGGATGATTACAAAGAATTTATTGAACTTTTGGTAATAGTTTTAGGACGTACTCCCCCAAAAGACACTTTTTTCAAAGTACCTGGTGCCATTTATCACGCTAGATGGATGGCAAAGGCCATTCATTGTATCAAAATACATCTTTTCAGAGATCAATTTACATTAACAAATTAGAAAAAAAAAAAGTTATCCGTGATATCTGTTTATTTTTAATAAACATTCATGTAAAAGCGTGTTTCAACGCCCTCAAACCCGCTTTGGCCCCCCAACCAATAACCACAATTTTTTAAATATCCTGAAAAATATAGAGAAATCGGTAAAGAACTTGCAGACAAGGCACAGTCTGAAATCATAAATCATGAAAATTACGGTAACAACTGGTGCAATTGGTGGTGTGCGTGACTTACATCTCTCTCCAAAATAGTTAATCAAAATCATTGTTCCAGAATCATAATAAATTGTCTGAAAAGTGAAAAAAATCTGATAAGGTTGATATCTTCTGGAATACCATATTATATGTGAGTCAAACACTGAATATTAATAGTTTGTTGTCTTCACTGTTTATGAATTGCAAACTGTCACTGATAAGAGATTCGGCTAAGAGTACTGCTCCGGCAGCGGTGAATAGAGGAGTAAAAATAATGGATAATACGATACTCAATCAAATATTGGAAGAAATTAGAAATAGTAAAATAGAATTGAAAAATAGCATCGAAGCTTGTGAAACTAATATTTTATCGAAAGTTGAAGACTTGAATTTTAAGATAAACTCCTTGAGAAAGGCAGGAAGGAAAAAATTGTAAAACTGGAAAGAAACGAAAAACAGAACGATATCATTGTTTTTGGATGGGTTGCTCGAAACGAGAATATAACTTCAGAATTTATTTGCACTCAGCTCAATAGCACGTTGAATGTAGTTGTAAAAGAATGAGATATAAAAAATGTTTACTGCCTTGGAAAAACTATAAATCGACCAGTAAAAATAGAATTCGTATCATATCTGAAAAAAACGAAATTTTGAAAAACTGTGATAAGTTGAAAGGAAGCGGTATAACAGTATATCATGATCTAACGGAGCAACAACGCTGCGAATATCAAATTTTACGGAAATCTCTAATTCAAGATAGGCAGCAAAATAAACACTGTTACATCAAAGGTAATAAACTCGTTGTAGAAAATAAAGAATTTTCCTTGGAAGAGCTATACGAAATAGAAAACCAGGTAGACAAGAAAGCAACTAGTGCTGAATACTCTACGATAAGGAATCAAGAAAATCCAGAATAATTATATCCTAAAAACGCCCTAGAGAATCAATCAACCAGTCTAGTAGAACACCTGTCAAAGTCTAGTGGAGCCTCAAAAAAACCATCGAATCCAGACAACCCAACTATTGAGAAGCTCACCAGATCGAGAACTAATTACCAAAAATAACGGACGTCCTTTCCCAATAATTCAAAATTTACAGTTTCACCAACTTCACGTTCAGGCTAAAATATTTTATATGAATCACGCTAAAATATTTTAAATGAATCACAAGTTTCAAACTATGAACATTATTTTATTATTTTATTTGTAGTAATCCAGGATCCATAATTCTAGAGATAGCGAAACCAATTTAGTAATCTTTATATAAAATTCATTTGTGCTGTTTTTTTAATGGATCCATATATCAGAGATTTCGAGGTAACTAAAGTTGACACCTTTACTTTAGATACAATATTTCAAATTCTGAAGATCAATGAAGAATCACATAACTTCAAACTAATACACAATAATATTAGAAGTATCGCAAAAAAATTCGATGAATTTAAAATTTTTCTTTCACAATTTCAAATTGAATATGATTACAAATATTTACTGAGACAAGAAAAATTACTGATTCAGTTTACCAGGATACAAGATGCTTTATAACGAAGGAAATTTGAACCAAAATGACGGTACAGTTGTTTACTTGAAAACTGATTTTTACAAAAATCACGAGTTGATAAATTTCAACGGCTCTAATATATTAAAATTGGAGGTTGAATTTTACAAAACTCAAATAGATATTCATTCATTCTGTAGATCTCCATCAACGTGCATTGACTTATTCAATCAGAACTTGCAAAATTTTTTTGAAAACCAAACTACAAACAACAAAAAATACAGTCTATTTGTTGGAGATATTAATATTGATATTATGAACGAGCAAGACGATAAAGTAAATGATTATCTAACAGTGATGGTGGAATACGGATACACATCTCTAATTAATTGACCAACACGTCTAAATTCTTGTATTGACCGTATTTTTATAAAAACTCATATCCAGAATCTTGAAAATGTAATTCCTATAATAAATCATACAAATATTACTGATCACTCAACTATAATTCTTCAAATAGTAACAAGGAAAAAGACGGATAATCAATTATTTATAAAAACTCATATCCAGAATCTTGAAAATGTAATTCCTATAATAAATCATACAAATATTACTGATCACTCAACAATAATTCTTCAAATAATAACAGGGAAAAAGACGGATATTCAATTGAAAGAAAAAACAAAGCAACATTTCAATGAAAAAAAAATTAATTGAAACCATACAGAACCAAAGCTTGGAAGAAATGTATTCAGATAATAGCCTGGATTTCATTACAGAAAGGTTGATCACTATTTTGCAAGAAGAAATCGAAAAATGTACGTACTATCAACGCATCAGGGGACCTGAAAGGAGAAGAAAAAATTGGATCTCTAACTCATTGGTGAAATCTGTTAACGAAAAAAATGATTTATATAAACAACTGAAAAGAGATCCTCAGAATTTACAATTAAAAAATGAATATAACAATTATAAAAAGAAACTTGATAAATTAATCCAAAAGGCTAAAAATGAATATTATAGAAACAAAATAATGGAAAACATGAAAAGTTCAGGCAACTTGTTGAAAAATATAAATGAAATATTCAGTGGGAGTAGAAAAGTTGAAAGAAAGTTCATGAATAATGATGAAGGAGATATGATAGATGATGTAGGTGAAATAGTAGAAATATTCAACAAAACTTATATTGACACAGGAAAAAACCTCACGAAAAAAATCAAAATAACAGCACAATTCAGTTTCACGGAACACGTAAACAAAGATTCAATTTTTCTCTATCCGGCTATTCCAACATAAGTCTGGAATATTATAAGAGGCCTCAAAAACAAGAAAGCACCAGGAATAGATAACCTAAAAAGTGAAACTTTCAAACTAGCGGCTGAGTTTATAGCAGGATCGATATCCCACATATTTAATAGAGCGGTAGAAATCGGCTACTTTCCATTGTGCTTAAAAACTTCCATAGTTACTCCTGTTTTCAAGAGTGGATGTAGAGATGAGGTAGTTAACTATAGACCAGTATCTTGTAATATCAAATCTCAGTAAAATTCAAGAAAAAATGATCAAAGTAAGGCTAGACTCATTTATACAAAAACATATGATATTATCTGACTCACAGTTTGGTTTTCGGACAGGAAAATTCACCTAAAATGCGATGTTACAGCTCACTAATTATGTTCACGAAGCATTTGATAGAGGCAAACCATCACTAGGGATGTTTATTGATCTATCAAAAGCATTTGATACAGTTAACCACAACATTCTACTATGCACTCTGGAAAATATTGGAATAAGATGTAATGCATATAAATTAATAGAGACATATCTCACGGGTAGAAAACAGATTGTAAAAATAAGGAATATGAAAAGTGGTGAGAAGAAAATTGAATGCGGAGTGCCGCAAGGAACTGTTCTGGGTCCGTTGCTTTTTAATATTTATGTGAACGGACTGTTTTCGATTGGAACCGCAGGACGCATAATAAGTTTTGCAGACGATACTGTTATTCTTTACTCTGAGCAATCTTGGTCTGAGGTCAAAGACATGGCAGAGAAAAATCTAGAAAAAATCAAAGATTGGTTCGACCATAAACATCTTTCATTGAACTTCAGTAAAACCTATTACTTGCCATTTTCTAATAATAGAGCTACACTTCCTCAATTCAATCAAATAACTATCCGAAACTCCTTCAAGATATCCCCAGATGCCCATATAAAGTATTTAGGGGTTCTCATAGATCCTCACCTGAGATGGGACTTTCATATCAAGCACATTGTAAATAAATTGCGATGTATATTATACACGTTTCGTCAACTGAAAGATATACTTAACATTGAAAAAAAAATTTACTTCAGTTTGGTTCAAAGCCATTTGATATACTGCATAATAGGATGGGGTGGGGTATCCAAATCACATCTTCGCCCACTGGAAGTCATTCAAAGAAAATTTTTGAAACTGGTGTTGAATAAACCGCCTCGTTATCCCAGTGATATGCTATATAAACAATCAGGAGTATTTGATCCTAGACAGCTGTTGTACAAGTCACTCGTATTGAATCAATATAAGGAGAAAGAAACATTGTGTAGGCCAAATATTGTTGTTTTTGTTTCTCACGAAACTGTAAATTTTTTCAAATGATTTTAAATTGATACAGAATATTTAAATAAGGATCCTTAATATTTGTTGTGAAAATGCACATTATTTAAAAGCAAAAAAAAGTAGTGAACGGTTTCAAGATTCTCAATGACACAGCTGAAAGAGGGGTAAAATTAATCCATAAGACGAAGAATTACGAGGTTGTTTCGGAATGTCGAATAAAATTTCCTGGCTCTTCAAGAGCCGCGTTATGTAAGCCATTACCATCTTAAACTGATAATTAATTGTAAATATCACTCCAGAAAGGAATTCCATATCATAGGTGAGATTCTATGAGAGAGTGATATGTAACTTTGGCAACAGCTGATCCTAACTCACAAGATGTCAGCCTCACAGCGTATGACCCAGGGGACAACTTTGATTTGAGACCCCTGATTAGTCTTCAAATTTCAGATCACTGTTAATAATTAGTTGATGTTATGTTAATTTGATTGATGGTTTATTCATAACAAAGATATGAACTTGTAAATTGCTAATGGAACATTTGAAGCAAATCAACATATATACATATTATACAGCCGTAATATCCAGTCACCGGAGATATTAAACTCAGGATGTATAAACCTCTGATGAAGCTAGCTACAAAAATCCACGGTCTTCAAACCAGCAAATAGTGATACTGAAAACCTCGGCCGCAAAAGCCTTAACCATTTTGACATGATAACATAATAGAAGACTTAAGATATTGAAATTTTGAGAATGAATATGGATTTGAATTTGAGCCTGTTAATAATTGCAGATATAACATCAACAACACATGACATCAGAATTGAATACTGAGGTGTAAAAGAATGATATACTTCAATGTTACCAAATCCATTTGAAGATATTTTTACTGTGAGTACATATTTTATTTTGCATTGTGATATGTTTGTGGTGATTAGTTGAATAATTGGAACTATAGTAAAACCAATAATGATTGAGAGTAAAGCGCGTTGTCATATCTAAATTTTACGTTACCAGTTTATAGTAGAATCAAAATATAGTAAGCAGTAGAGTTGTAGGTTGTGGCAAATTATAGATAATACACAATACTAGTACGATTA